CTTCTTCTTCTTCTTCTTCTTCTTCTTCTTCTTCTTCTTCTTCTTCTTCTTCTATTCAATGCTACACATACAACGAGGCAAAACTCACTCAGACAAGCAAACCAAAGCCGTTCTCTTCACGCAGGTCTTTCTTTTGACTTTCCATCCGCTGTAGTGAGCAAGATCTTCATGTCTCTAACTTGACCGCCTTCTTGCAGATTACCATCAGTTCATGGCTAGCGAAGTATTAGTATTATCATGGGGAAATGGAGAATTTTTATGTATTGTTTTGTTGTTGTTTTTTTATCAGTAAACTCTAGACATGCGCACTGATTTGTTGATTTATCAATCGAATTTCGTTTGTAGCATTATTTACACAATGCCGTTTAAGACGATGAAAGAAAAACATGAGGGAAAATTTTCTGCCTGCCCCTCGCCCCCCCCCCCCCTTTCTTTTCTTTTTTAAAGATTAAATGACCACGAAACTGTTGGAGCTAAAATTTCCCCGTTCGTAGCCGAGAAAGTTTCTCCATCAATACCTCGCTTCACCCAGCAATTTGTCAATTTTTCCAACATTACTCGATCAAGATGTATCCCGACGCGGTGAAATCAGGCGCTTATCAATTTTCGGACGATATGGAGGTACTAATATAATCCTATAGCCTATTCATTGCCTTGCTTTTGATGAAAAACATTCCCATCTTCCTTAAATAGAACTTGAGATAATATTTGTTATTAAAGGAAGTGTCGGAGGTAGAATTAGTGTGGAAATGGCTGCCAAAGTTTGGTGACTTCCAAAACGTGAGATTCCATGGAAACTGCAATTTCACATTTTTTGTGTGCCTTCATCAACTTTCTTAAGTAAAATCAGCTTAGAAATGTCTTTTTAAATGGACATAAAAGGTGTTAAACCAACCCCGCCCCCCCCAAAAAAAATACCCCCCCCCCAATCAAAACACCCCCCCCCCTCAAAGAAATCGATAAATATTGTCCTATAGGCGGAAAAGCATCGATTTCTCCTTTTTCATTACTTTGACGAGCGCCTGATTTCACTACGATGACGCACAGATTTTGCACCCACTCACACATCCTCCGTCCTCCCAGGGTAGTGAGGGAGAGGCGGGTACGTCCACTAGAACTGAGCTCACTCGACTCTACTATCAAACATTCGCGATATTTGCGCTATTCATAGTTATTCGAAGGGTGGCTGAGCCATTCGAACGCCATGTGGTTTTTAAAGATCATGCATTTTCGTTTGTTTGTTTTTTTCCTCAACCCCCAGGATTTCATGTCTAAAATCATTTGGGGTAAATGCAGCAATACTTTGTATTTGAGGATTACAAGACACAGTGATGAGTGGGGCTAACAAGAGTAATAAAACTCGGTTCTAAGAAGTATTTACCATTATCCAATCACCTCATGAATAAATAAAGGGCATTAAGTCTCTCGAAGCGCAGAGAATTTCATTTTTTTACTTTGAATGAAAATAACAGTTGGTTGTGGCAATGGGCTCCCCTTCTCGTATTCGCAATTCGAAGCGTTATGAATGGTGATGTGACGTCATCGTATTGCACTGAGTGCAAGCCAACACATGATGCATTCAGTGAAAAGCACTGTAAGCTGTGAGTGGTTACTGAATGTTGAATTGCAGAAGTTATGGAAGGGCTGATAACATAGAAGAAGAAGAAGAAGAAGAAGAAGAAGAAGAAGAAGAAGAAGAAGAAGAAGAAGAAGAAGAAGAAGAAGAAGAAGAAGAAGAAGAAGAAGAAGAAGAAGAAGAAGAAGAAGAAGAAGAAGAAGAAGAAGAAGAAGAAGAAGAAGAACAACAACAACAACAACAACAACAACAACAACAACAACAACAACAACAACAACAACAACAACAACAATAACAACAACAACAACAGCAACAAAACAATTTCAGTGTGAGTAAAGAGAAGCACATCGACACAACACAATAATGGCCATAAAATGAAGGCAGAAGAAAGAAAGATAGATAGGCAGAAAAATAAAAGGGAAAGTAAAGAAATAAAACCTACCAGTAGCACCCCCAAAACACTCACAGAAAAAAACCCACATTCTCAAACAGTATTCGAATAACATGAATAGTAACTTCACGCTTCGAAGCGTCGATAAAGTTTTATTTCCTACAAAATGTCACATCGCTGGCGTCCAGACAAAGACAGAGCCATACGCTGTGGGCGAACAGTAAACGTGGGCTACGGACTCTTGACTTTTGCCAGGGTTTTGTTGTTGGTATCGGCGATGATAGTATCGAATAATAATAATAATAATAATAGATGATAATAAATAATAATAATAGATAGCATTTGTATAGCGCATATCCCCGCTCAGCAGCAGGCTCTATGCGCTTTACACTATATTATTACCCCAGCAGACCATAGAACACTCCGAAACATTCTCAGCTTCCCGGGAAGCATACAGTGCAAGCAGCCGATTAAGCGCTCAAACACTAACAAACTGACAAGATCTTTCGCTGTCTATAGCCGGGTACCCATTCCCACCTGGGTGAAGTGAGGAAAATTCGTGTAAAGTGCCTTTCCCAAGGACACAACGTCGGGCCCTTGACGGGATTCGAACCCACGACCTTACGGTTGCGAGTCCGAGAGCCTAACCACTAGGCCACCAACGCCTTACCAGGTGTGACTTGATGAATTCATTTTGTTCCCATAGACCTAAGGACTACAACTAAGTATGTGGGCCGTCAATTTGGCTGGGAGGCAACGACTACCAAGATTGTTTCTTATGATTTGAAAAAAAAAATACTATTGTTATGACATCAGAAAAAAACAAAACAATCAATGAACTCCCCTCCCCTTCTCCACCACCAACCGACCATTAAGAAAGAGAAATCAAACAACATCGATATTTGGAGAATGGAGAGGATGCACAATAGACATTTTTTTACACGGTATCCTTCGAATACACTAACAGTAACAGGGAATCGATACCAAGAGCAAAAACCAGCGCAAATTTTCGCTGCCCACGAACGAGTCGAGCTGGCTCACTGCAGCGGTCTGGTTGAGGGGCGTGTATCGACAAGTCTGTGGCGACTATTTCGGCGCAAGCTCAGGGAAAAACTAAGACCAGACAGGCAGATAAGACAGACGTAACAAATTACTCTCTATCTTCTTGTCTTGTGCATCTTTTTAAAACAGTGTTACCTAACCCAACAGGCGTGAGAGTACAGCTTTGTGCAGCAAAAACACAAGTGGATACTGTCGAATTTAACTGTCTAGCTCTTTCAGGTAAGTCATAAGTAGAATAGCTAAAGTAAGGCAGTGGTTGGTTGGCGGGTGTTCTGGTGTGGTTTTCTTCTTCTTTCCTATCAACCATCTATCGTTGATATCTTTCCTCCTTCTTTTCTTCGCATATTAGTGAGACCAGTTGTAATCGTCGGCACTTATGTATTATTATTTATGACTTCATTTGCGTAACAGGAGCTGTAAAACTTTTACTTTATAAACACAACCCCCCCCCCCCAAACCAAACAACCCCCCAAACCCCCCTCAACCCCCCCCCCCAACAAAA